GTCTCTCGGGCCCCCTGGGGCGCCGCCCTGCAGCGGCCTGGTCTTGTGCTGCAGAGCTGACTGTGCCAGGCTGATGGTCAGTGGGCTAGTGCAGGAGGGCGCACTGCACATAAAGCAGGTCTTCCCCACCCTGCCCCGCACGATCTGCCCCCTCAGAGCAGCTGGGCCCCACGATGCACAGCCACCCCGCAGGGCAGAGGCCCAGGGCGCGAGAGGTCAGTGCAGGGAGGGCGGGGGTGGGCTCTTCGGGGGAGAGAGGGACCCTTGGTGCTTGTTTTTTTGTGTTTTTAAAAAATACGTTTTTATTGATTTTAGAGAGAGAGGGAGAGGAATAGAGATAGAAACATCAATAAGAGAGAAACATGGTCAATCGGTTGCCTCCTACACGCCCCCTACTGGGGATCGAGCTGCAACCCGGGCATGTGGGTTCCAACCAGTGACGTCTTGGTTCACGGGTTGACCCTCATCGCTGAGCCACACCACCGGGCGGTGCTCGGGGTTTTGGCTGGCTGGCCCAGAGGAGGAAGGCCGGCCTGTGTGGGAGGCCCAACAACTAGAAGGACCAGGAAGGGTTTAGTTCAGGGAGAATCTGTCACGGGCAGAGAGGCCCGAGGCTGGTCTAGGCTGCCTTTGCTGGGGGCGCCCAGGCCCAGGCTGGACGGGGACGGCCACGTGGCAGAGGTCAGACGAGGCCTAGAGGGCCTGCTCCTGCAGCCACGCTGTGCCTCCTTGGCTGACCCCACTCAGCCGCCGTCCTCCTCCTTGGGGCTCCCCCAACCCCTGCTCTTAAGGGCAAGGATTGTCAGCAGCAGTGACAACCACCATAGCTACCGTGGTTGAGCTCCGACAGGGCCGGGCACACAGAGCTGAGTGCTCGCTGTGGGAAATAATACAACAGCCGCCGCCGCCGCCGCCCTGTACTGAGCCCGCGACCATCACTGCCCTGAACCCCAGACACTATTATCACCATTTCGTTTCCCCTAAGGAAGCAGAGCTTCTCAGGAGCCCAAGGTCACAGCGGGTCCACCGCAGAGGCCGAGGCTCCCTCTGTGCCCACAGTGGCGTCACCTGTGTGGCCGGGGACCGAGGGCTGTGCTCAAACCGGCAGGAGGCTGCGGGCGGGAGCGCCCTCCACAGGCTGCAGGCACATTCGCGTGTTAAAGGCTCTGAGAACTGTCTGGGTCCCCGTTTAACTGTTTGCTTCAGGGGTTACCTGCCAACCTTCCGCGATTTGCATGTTCTTCAGAATATGCTTTGGGGGGTGCCTCCCGATGTTCGCACAGCCATTCAGCCTCTGGTAAGCGCCTGCTGCGTGCCGGGCCATGGCCCTGTGCCAGCGGCACGCAGGGGTGAGGACAGGCATGCCCCGGCCCCGTGCTCCCCAGCTCCTAGCTCAGAGACTGGCACACAGTAGGGACACACACCTTCAGCTAATGAGGCCCCAAATGAGAGAGGGAAGGGACGGGGTAGATAGCTGGGTGGGAGCCACATGTCCTGGCCAGACGCAGGCTCTGCCCTGAGCCACCCCATCTCCTCCTCCTCCAGTCCTGGACCCGATGCCAGCCCCTCGGGCCACACCCAGCCTCAGCCTTCCCCGTGGCAGGGAGGCCCACCACGCCTCCATGCTGGGTCGGAGCCCTCCGTCCCCGCCCCAGGCCCCTCCCCAGGGCCCCTGCCAGGTGCAGCAGCTCTTCCCCACCAGCTCTGTGGTCCATCTTGACATTCCTATCACATCCCCAGCCCTGCCTGGAATACTAATTCTCCAAGACGAAACCATCCGTGTTTAATTTTTTTTAGAGCCAGGCAGAAAGAAAAGACAAGAAAAGGAGAGGCGTCCGTGGGTGGAAGTTGGAGCCCTCCTCGAAGCTCTTTTCAGAGCCGCTCTGGGCAGCTGGCATTGAGAACCTGCGGTGCCAGATGCCACTCTGGGTGGTCACACTGTCCCTGATGAGGGCCAGGGAGGGGTCAGCCCTGGGCAGTGCCACCCCAGGACAGTCACGCTGCCCTAAGTAGGCCAAGGAGGGGGTGGCCTCGTTTTCCAGTAGGTGGGGGGCAAGGGAAGGGGCCAGGCTGGCCTTCTGAAGACACCAGGGCATGCCAGAGGCCTGGTTTGGGAGGGCTGTTTCTTTGAGGCCCTCAGAAGGGCACCCCTTTAATTAAGAGTGTGCAGCCAGGCTACCTTTGTTTGCAAGTCAGGTTTCTGCCCAGTTCCTGTCAGATGGGGCAGGGGGCAGTGGGAGAGAGGGCTGCTGGACGGGCGGGAGAGAGGCCATGCAGGGAGCGTACTTCTGTGCTAGATGACCTTGGACAAGCCCTTGACCCCCGGGGGCCTCAGCTGCCTCCTTGAGCGCTGGGATGTGGCCCCAGGGCCAGGAGGGCTGTTGCAAGAAGAACAGGTGGCTAACAGCCTGGAGTCAGAAGTCTGCGGGGAGCAGGGCTCCTGCAGCTTAAAGCTGTGCTGCTTGGGCCAGTGAGCTGCGTCTCTGAGCACCAGGTATCTAGGACGGTGACTGAGGGAAGTGCTCTCCGAGGCCTGCGGTGAGGATCAGAGGGACCGCGGGAGCCCCCTCAGGACCAGCTTGGCGGCTCCGCACACAGAAGTCAGCTATTGTTCCTATAACCCGTGACAAGCCCAATCAGTGAGCCTCTTCCCTGGGCCCCCGCCCCCCAGCCCCAGGGCCTGGGGAACCCCGCTCCCCCCTCCCTCCCGCGGCCCCTCCCTCTCCCCAGCCTGGCTGACAGCTTAGCTTGGTGCCACCTCCCCCCAGCATCCCAGTTTAACGTCCTCGGGCCCCCCAGAGGGAAGGATGAGATTGTAACAGCAGGAAACATGACAGAACATGAAACATGATGAAATCAGCTGCGTAAATTATGAAACCAAATCACAGCCCGCTCCTCCGGCGCAGGGTAGCGCTGGCGGATGCTCTGCAGGCTGGACACCCCTTACCCGGCCTGGGAGTGTCAGCCAGCGCCCCCCCTCGGGCCCTCTCCCTCCTCCCCGCCTCCTCCTCCCGGCAGCCGGCCCTGCCTCAGTGAGACACCACCATGGCGTGATTTCTGCTCGAGAGGTACCCCCCATCAGACCCCGGCCAAGAGCCCCTCGGGCTGGTCCCTGCCCCTCCCCTCCCCTCCCCCAGGCTCTTCCTGAGCGCTCAGGCCCTGCTTCTCTGGGCCCCAGAGACAAACCCCTAGCGGCTTGGTGGCGGGGCCCAGTGCTGCCCCCGGGCCCCATTTTAGTCTCCTGATGCCTCTGCCACAGGATGTGGGTCTGGTTGGTGGTCAGGACGAGGCCTGAGCTGCCCACACTCTAGCTGCCCGCCCCCTCCCCCGTCCAGGGATGCCCACGGCCTCCACTCTCTCCCTCCTCCCGTCCCCACCCCCAGCGCCTCAGCCACCTGTGAGCGCAGAGCTGGTGCAGGGAGGGCGACTCCCAGCAAATGTGGTTTTTTTGGCCGCCTCCCCTCTGCTTCGGGGGCTGCGTCATAAATTATTATCGACCCGGTGCCGGCCGGGGCTGGAGACCAGATGGGGAAATAAAGCAGCGGTTCGATAATTGTGCCCTGCCACCCGAATTCACTTATTTGTGGCTTTCCTACCCCTGGAAACGCGGCGATGAATAACTGCTGACCACTAGGCTCCTGGGCTGGAAAACACCTTCCGATGCGTTTCCTGAGGACGGACGGCCGGCGACCTGCGCCCACCCCACCCGCCTGCCCTGCTGGG